AGGCTTTTTCAAAATTATATAATAAATGATCTGTGGGGTATTTTGAACTGAAACCTCACAGACACATTCTAGGGACACCTGACACTTATATTACATCTTGTAAAAAGGGGCATAATAGGTCTCCTTTAAGTTTTTTAAGTTGAAATAGTTGAAGATTTTGGATTGCGTTTTAAGGCGAGACACTGCAGGTGAATAGGGTAAAAAAAATTAACTACTAATTATCACCTTACTTACCCAGTTGATTGATTACATTGATAATTGCAAAAAAAAATTTGTATTACAAGTTTTCTAAAATGTTATGTTTAAATATTCAAATGAAGCATTATTTAATGAAATATGCGCTAGTTTGCATACATTTCTAGTACAAAAATCTGAACACTGGATGAAGTAAAAAAATAAACGAGACAGAGGGAATTTGGGGTATATCTTTTTGTCACTCCATAATTCAGAAAATACTTTGAACAGCCAGAAAACAATATATTTTCACAATTTTGGGGGAAATAAAATGTTGTATGTAATCAAGCAAATTATATATGAACAAATGCCTCTGTAAAAACCTTCCGAATATAGACAGGAATACAAATTTTAAGTTTGGTGTTTGTAAGTGCTACTGAAGTGGAGATTTATGGCTCAGTGTAGGAGAAAAACATCCTTTAACTGTCACCCGTCCCCTCTGTGGGACGCCGAAGTTTACTTCACTATATTACAATTAAATCCTAATATAATCATGACAAATTATATATCGTTGGAAAGCTCTAAGACTCCTAAATAGATATTTTACCAATGTTTTTGTTAAAAATTATGTAGGAAAAGTAATAGATTAATTTTTGACAAGAGTGCACCTCAAAAATCTACATCATAACAGGAGTTCTGACCTTTGTCAAAAAAAAGTCTCACACTTTAGAAATCATATATCAATTGAAAACTTTAAATCTCAAAATTCATCCTTTGAAACCCATTTTAAAATCAAACATTGCATTACCATGAAAATGGTACATCAATATCATGTTACAAAATGTTTTCGTTCATGAATTATAAAAATTTAAGTTTGGATCGTGCACTTTCA